TTGTAGAGATGAGGTCTCTCCAAGTTGCCCAGGCGGGTCTCGAACCCGCGGGCTCAGTCAGTCCACTCACCTCAGCCTCCCAAGGTGCGGGATTACAGGCTGAGCCACCGAACCCGACTTCTTTTCTTCGTTTTGAAGTGGTTACTCTAGAGCTTAAAACACGCATCCATGTTTTAGTAAAGTCTAATGATAATGTACCTTGGACAGTGCAAGAACTTGAGAACACGGCAGCCCTAGTTTCCTCATTGTTGTCATTTATTTCAATCCTTTCTGGTTTAAATCACACAACACAGTTCGGGCATGGTGGTTCATGCCTATAATCCCAGCACTTTGGAAGGCTGAGGTGAGAGGATCGCCTGAGCCCATGGGTTCGAGACCAACCCAGGCAATTTGGTGAGACCTCATCTCTACAATAAATCAAAAAATTTGCCAGACATGGTAGCTCATGCCTGTAGTTCCAGCTACTTGAAAGACTGAGGTGGAAGGATCACCTGAACCCAGCAGGTTGAGGCTGCAGTGGCCATGAGTGTGCCACTGCACTCCAGCGTGGGCGACAGCGACTCAAACTAAAACTAAAAAAAAAAAAAAAAAAATGTAAATAAATAAATTACACAGCACACGGTTTTATGCAGCCAGATGTTTAGATTTTGCCTCCTCCTTACTGGATTTGCTGTTTTCCATTCCTTCCTGAGTCTCTGACTTTCCCTCTCCATCTGGGTCATTTTCTTTCTCCACGAAGAATGAAAGGCAGTGTGTGACTGCCGGTAACGACTTCCTTTACATTATTCTCATTTGTCGGAAAGTGTCCTAATTTCACCCCGATCTGGAAGGGTGTATGTGCTAAGTGTAGAATCCTGTGCTGAGTGTTGTGCTCTTTCATCTCCAGGCACATCAGTCTGTTGTCTTCTTGCTCCCTGTTTCTGCTGAGAAGCCAGGTATCGGCTTGTTATTGTCCCTTTGAAGGTCACTTTTTCCTCTTTGGTCCTGTTATGATGATCTGTTTTTCTTTGTTCCCTCTGTACCTCCCTTATTTCTTTGTGCCCAAGTAAGGCCTTCTTCTTATTCATCTCCTTTGTTTTATAGGACTTTAAAGTATATATATATAGCAGGATTTATTGAGACAATAGAAAAGTTCCCAGGGTGGGAGGGGATCTGAGGGGGTTGCTGTTTTGCAGGACTTTTAAAGTTTGTGGCATGGCCGGGTGTGGTGGCTTACACCTGGAATCCCAGACTTTGGGAGGCCTAGGTGTGAGGATTTTCTGAGCTCACGGGTTCGAGACTAGCCTGGGCAACTTGGCGAGACCCCATCTCTACAGTAAATCAAAAATTAGCTGGTCATCGTGGCACATGCCTGTAGTTCCAGCTACTTGGAAGACCGAGGTGGAAGGATCTCCTGAGCCCAGCAGGTAGAGGCTGCGGTGGCCGGGAGCGTGCCAGTGGACTCCATCCATCCTGGGCAACAGAGTGAGACTCCAACTCGGGGGGAAAAAAAGTCTGTGGCATTACGCCTTTGAGCCAGTTTCAGTAAGTGCTTAGACATCTTGAAATGCCCCTTTGCCCTCTTCTCTCCCGGTAATCCCGGAGTTCCAGCGGTATGCGTCGCAGACGTGCGTGCGCTTTCTTCTGCCTCTCACTCACAGTTCCGGATCTGCCTTTTGTTCTCTCAGCTTCGTTCTGGATATTTTTATCTGTCTGGCCTTGAGTTCACTAAATCTGTCTTCACCTGTTTTTAATCTGTTATTAAACCTATCCATTATTTATTAATTTCAGTTACTGTATTTTTTAGTTCTGGCGTTTCTTTTAGTGCTATTTAAAAAAAAATTCAGTTATCTGCCAAAGTTCTCTTTTATGTCCTTGAACATAGTAAACGAGTTGTTTGAAAGTCTAGTACCCGGATTTCCTCTTGGCTTATTTCCTCTCTTTCACTCTTGTTTTTATTTATATTTTGTGTCTTTGTGCACCTGGTCATTTCTGGTTGTGTGCCAGATCTTGTTGGTAGAAACATTTGAGGCCTGTGTGATTCATCTTGGTCTAACTTCAGGCTCAGCAGCCCTGTGAGAGAGGGCTTTTTTTGCTTCCTCTCTGGGATTGCAGCCTTTGTGCAAACCCAACCCAAAGCTAGGTGTTGGACTCAGGCTCCTGGACCCTCTATCCTTGGAAGCTACTTCTCATCACTTCTCGGCCACCCCTCCAGAATCCGTAAATATTCCTAAGATCGGTGAACTTCCAAGACCCGGGAAGGTTCTGAGCTGTTACTCTGCTTACCAACTGTCATACAGGTCATTGCTGGGTCTGTGTTCCCAGGGGCAGGGGTGGTGTCTTGTCATCTGGGTACCTGGTGCTCAGAGTCAGAGCGGTGAGGCTGGTGAATCCATAAATGCGTGAACGAAGTTGCCCACGGTGGGACATAGTGTTTTTTTATTTGAGTATTTTTGTGGTTACTGAGTGATGTTGATTATATACATTCCCTGGAGTTGCCCATCTTTAATACTGTTCTTAGGCCTGTAATCCCAGCACTTTGGGAGGCAGAGGCGAGAGACTTGCCTGAGCCAAGGAGTTTGAGACCAGCCTGGGCAACATGGCGAGACCTTTGTCTCTACAATAAGTAAAGGTATTAGCCGAGTGGGGAGGCATGTGCTTGTAGCTCCAGCTGCTCGGGAGGCTGAGGCAGAAGGATCGCCTGAACCCAGCAGGTTGAGGCTGCAGTGGCTGTGATGATGGCGCTGTCCTCCAGCCTGGGCGACAGAGTGAGACTCAGACTCAGAAAACAACGAAAAAATACCAGCACGTTCCTTTACTTCGTTTTCTGTCTTTCCACATATACTACATTTAACTTTTCCCAAGAATAGGAGCTGCATCTGCAGACTGTGGCTTACTTTTGTCCTCTTAGTAGCTTCGAGATCCTTAAGTGTAAGTACCTGTGGGATCTGCGTGTTCTGCTGAAAAGCTGCAACAGGCCGGGTGCAGTGGGTCACACCGGTAATCCTAGCACTTAGGGAGGCCGAGGCAAGGATTGATTGCCTGAGCCCAGGGGTTCGAGACCCGCCTGGGCAACTTGGCGAGACCGCATCTCTACAGTAAATCAAAAAAATTAGCCGGGTGTGGTGGTGTGTACCTGTATGTCCAGTTACTTGGAAGGCTGAGGTGGAAGGATCTCCTGAGCCCAGCAGGTTGAGGCTGCGGTGGCTGTAAGTACACTCCAGCCTGGGCAACAGAGTGAGACTCCAGTTTTAAAAAAACCAACAAAACTGCAACAACCAAGTTGCTCTGAGTGAGTGGGCCCCTCTACAGTGTCATGGAGCGTGTCTCTCTCCGTGCTCATTGGGTGTTATGATCGTTTTAACAGCTGCCAGTCTGATCAGTCAGGAATGTCTTATTTTAGCTGGCCTTTCCAAGGGAACTTGTGTCATCACCTGCTCACATGCCTATCTGTAGACTTCCCCAAGCAGGCTCTTGTCTGGTTTGTGTTGACGCCTTGGTTTTCACGAGGGGCCTCCTGGTGGCCGAGGCCAGGCTGTTTCCCTGCCGCCGGCAGTGCCAGCTCTTCCTCGGTCGGAGTTTGTGGCTGCTCGGGGTGTCTGTTTCTCTTACGTCGTGATGGTACCAGACCCCAGAGCACAACCCTGACCAGCCCCAGCCCAGGCGCTGGCACCACACCCAGGCTGGGCCGGGCGTGGTAGCACGAAGCGCTGGGCTTCGGAGTCAGCCAGACCTGGGTGTGAGGTGTGGCTGGGGCCGACTCACCCCGATTTCTTCATCTGGAAGGTTAGAAGGGAAGCGGGGGCGGGAGGCCAGGAGGAGGTGGGCAGTGACGTGTGGCCGTGTGGAGACAGCAGGTTTCGGAACCAGAAAGGCCTGGCTGTGACTCAGGAGTCCACTTGTCTGTGGGCCGAGTTGTTTTGCCTCTGAATTTGTTTCCTTTTCTGCAAAATGCGTGGCTCGGCAGGGGTCGTAACACCTGAGCAGGATCGCAGGACAAGAGCAGCAGGGTTGGAGAGGACAGCTGTGGCTTGGCGGTGTTGAGGGCGGGTCAGTGTGAGAGCCACCAGCTCTGGAGGGGCCTGGCGGGTGGAGTCTGGGCCCAGCAGTCCCTTTCCTTTCTGCAGGGAATGCTTGGGGGCTTGTGGTTGGTGCCCTCGTGGCCCTGCCTCCTGGCCCTGTGCCAGAGAGTACCCAGTCCGCATGGAGAGGGTAGAGGCCTGTGGCAGGCCGTCTGGGTCGCTCCTGCTCGCCGCAGGCCCTGGGGAGCCCTGAGCAGCCCCCTGCTCTCGCTGCAGCCTTGCTTCCTCAAGGACTGGGAGATGCACGTGCACTTCAAGGTCCATGGCGTCGGCAAGAAGAACCTCCATGGCGACGGCATCGCCTTGTGGTACACACGGGACCGCCTCGTGCCAGGTGGGCCTGCTGGGCCCCGGGGTGGGCAGGCACGGCATGGCTGCGGGCCTGCCGGGGCTGGCAGCGGGCCAGACATGGCTGCCTCTGCTTGTGTGGCCAGGCGCTCCCTCAGGCAGCCTCCTGTTCGAACCAGCTGCTTCTCTCGGACAGAGCCCCTGCCTGCACAGAGCTGGGCCTTGGAGGGGGCCTCAGCGGGAGAGGGGCCACTGGCCCTGCCCCTTGGGCTGCTCCCCGTGGCCTGGTTTCACCATCCTGCTCTTCCAAAGGGTTATTTTTTTTTAAGTAAAAACATGGCCGGGGTGGTGGCTCAAGCCTGTAATTCCAGTGCTTTGGGAGGCCAAGGCAAGAGGATTGCCTGAGCTCAGGGGTTCGAGACCAGCCTGTAACCTACCTCGTCTCTACAGTAAATAAAAAAAAATTAGCCAGTCATTATGGAGCATGCTTATAGTTTTAGCTACTTGGAAGTCTGAGCGGAAGGATCCCTGGAGCCCAGTAGGTCAGTGCTGGGATAGCTGTAAGGGTGCCACTGTACTCTAGCCTGGGTGACAGAGTGAGACTCCAACTCAAAAAATAAAGTGAAAACAGGAACTCTGTGTTTTCTGCTTCACGGAAAGCTTGCTGCCTCTGGTTTAGAGCATGGAGCCTCCTCTGGGGGGTTTTCCCGTGCCTCCCCCACCCCCGTTTGTTTCTTTTTTTGAGTTGGAGTCTCACTCCATTGCCCAGGCTGGAGTGCAGTTGGAACTACAGGCGTGTGCTATTATGCCCAGCTAATTTTTGATTCATTGTAGAGACGAGGTCTCACCAAGTTGCCTGGGCTGGTCTTGAACCCGTGGGCTCAGGCAATCCACTCTCCGTGTCCTCCCAAAGTGCTGGGATGACAGGCTGGACCATCGAACCCGACCAGTCTCCTCCTGTTCTTCACAAGCTGAGCACCCCCTCGACAGCAGAGCACCTGGCCAGGTGGCTGTGCCCTCGCAGTTGAGCCTTCAGGCTTGAGTCCCTGCTGCCATGTGCCAGCCCCCCCCGCCTGTGCTTCTCTGTAGAGGGCCCCGGGTGATGGCCAGGGGGTTGGGCTCTCATCCCTACCCACGTTGGCATTACTTGCCCTCCGCTGCCACTGTCCCGTGGCGAGAGCGTTCTTGTTGTAACTGCAGGGCCAGTGTTTGGAAGCAAAGACAACTTCCATGGCCTGGCCATCTTCCTGGACACATACCCCAACGATGAGACCACGGAGGTAGGCCCCTGCCCTCTGCTGCCCATGGTCGCCAGGGGAGGGACCTCGGGGCACTGGGCGGCGGGTGCCCTGCCTGCACAGCCGGGCTGGCCGTGGAGTAACTGGTGTCTTGGTCTCAGCGAGTGTTCCCGTACGTCTCGGTGATGGTGAACAATGGCTCCCTGTCCTACGACCACAGCAAGGACGGGCGCTGGACCGAGCTGGCGGGCTGCACAGCTGACTTCCGCAACCGGGACCACGATACCTTCCTGGCTGTGCGCTACTCCCGGGGCCGGCTGACGGTGAGCAGTGGAGCAGGCAGGGGTGGCCGGCAGGCAGCGGGCGGCCTCTGCGGGTCCCACAGGGGCTTGGGAGGCAGACCGCCAGGCTGCAGGAGCCTGACACGCCGGTGCCCGCAGGTGATGACTGACCTGGAGGACAGGAATGAGTGGAAGAATTGCATCGACATCACGGGTGTGCGCCTGCCCACCGGCTACTACTTCGGGGCCTCGGCCGGCACCGGCGACCTGTCTGGTGAGCTTGGCTGCGCGAGGAACCTGTTCCCAGCCTGAGCTGCCCTGTGGTGTCAGGAGCTTTGGACAGCGGGTCGCCTGCCTTCAGGTGGCTTTTCTGCACTCACCTGCCTTGCTTCCTCTTTCTGTTGCCTGTGAGTGTGGACGTGTCCGGGCCCCGGGTGTCAGTGTCTTCTGGGACCTTCCCCTCCCACGGAGGTCCCTGGGTCTCTCTCCAGACCGGTGTGAGCAGCCAGTGTGGCGCCTCCACGTGGCCTCCACTTCAGCTGTGCGGGCGCAGCTGGGACCACATTTTGCCTGTCAAGACGTCAGGGCACCTCTGGCCTGCTTGCGCAGGTCATAAGGCCCCTTTTTTCCCCTCTCTCTCTTTTAATTTTTTAAATTGATTGATTGATTGATTGATTTGGAGTCTCACTCTGTCGCCCAGACTGGAGTGCAGTGGCCACTCCCGGCCACC